ATCTTCACTTTTATAAAATAAAAGTTTGATAGTTATGACAAATTCATCCTGGTATGTTGTTTATAATCTTGTTTACTATGTTGGTAAGAATAAAAATAGTATTATAATAGTGTTTATGATTTTGTATCACTTAAATGTTTATATTTCAGAATCTATTCATATGAAATATACAGTAAGTATACAATTTAGTTTTTGACGACATATATTTTTATTTATGCTTTTGCTTATTCCTTATCAATGATTTTTAAATTGATTAAATATAAGAGGACATTTCAAAAATGCCACACTTGAATTATCTTTTTGCAAAAATGCCACAAAGAATTGTCCATTTGCAAAAATGCCACAAATTAATGATTTTTAAAGCCCTAAACTCAAAAATTTTAAACTTTTTTTTTTGTCAACAATTTTAAACTTTAAAAAATGTTATAACCTTAACAAAGATTATATTTATTTATGTAAATAAAACCTCGAAATTTGGTGATATATAATTTGAGGTTTTTTGTGCAATGTTTAGATTACCTTATTACTCTATATTGTTTTTATTACTATTGTTTTTCATAAGTTTTCCATATGGGATACATACGAAAGTAAACTAAAAGGAACTATAGTTTTTCATTCCATTTGTCTCCAAGCCATCAATCCTCTACGTCATGCCAGTATGCCACCATTTTGTAAAAACATGTGCATCAACTTGCTTACTCTCGCATTAAGTTGTTGGCCTCATCCCACTACAAAAAAAAAATTATATTGTAACAATATATTTTATCACAATAAAAAACAATTCGTAGCAATAAAAAATATTATGACAAATTTGTTACAATTTATCAAACGTTACAATAATTCGTAGCAAATATTTAATTGTAGCAAAAACTTAATAACATTTGAGACGAAATTATTTAATTATCAATACATCACAAACGGCGATGAGACATATTAGTGACCAAATTATAACAATTACGGACTAACTAATGTCATGATTCCGTCACTTATTTATACGGAATTATAGTCTTAAATCGTCACAAAAATGACAAAGAAAACGTTGTTAATCCATGACAATTACTAACTAAATAACAGTCTCAAAACCGTTTTTATTTAATTACGGTT